TGGGGGAAACAGACTGACCAGAGTAGGGGGATTGAGGGGCCTGTCACCCCTTCCCCCAAGGGGACCAGGGCTGTCGGCCTGTCCGCACAGGCCTGCATCGGCCCCATGCGGCGCAGTGTCTCGGAGCAGCAATAACCCCTCTCGATTCTACTGCCCGGCGGAGTCGCATCTTGCTGCAGACGGGGGTGCAGGGTTGGGGGCTCCCCGATGCGTCGTCCCACAAGGCCACAAGCCTGCAGCAGGGGGCTTCGGCCCTGGCCCTCCCTGTCACCCCCCCCGGCTGTGTCTACATATGAGAGGGGGGTGGGTGTGATTCTCCTGCTTGAGCGCCCACAGTTGCGCCAGCGCGCACCGAGCTAGCCTGCATGGAAACGGGAGGGCAGCCAACACGGCCGAGGAGCATTGCTGAGCTGTGCCACACACCGGCCTGCCCACAGCGCTGCTCGATCTCGGCTCTCCCCGCCCCGGCCGCTCCAGCCCGCTCGCTGGGGTATAAGTCCCATCCCTCGCTCCCCGCTCAGCCTTCACCGAGGAAACCCCGCCTCCCGCGGTGACAGAGTGCACGGCCATAGCTGGTTGCCGGGCTGGTATTGTGTATTAGCGGGCGCCAGACGGGCAGGGGCAAGAGTTCCACTCCCCTAAAGCATTCTGGGATTTCAGACTCTGACCTCATTTGCATTCAGAACAAACCCAGTTTCAAAATCCTCCACGGAGGCAAACTGTGGGGGGAAGTCAGGAATTCGGAGGGTTCATTTTGACTCTTCTGAGTAGCGTGTTACACTGCACAGCGCACACTGCAAAACAGAGACAAGGCACAACCCCCGGAAGCTGCTTCAGAACAGCAGCTCGGGCCAGGTCGTTGCCAAGCCATGTCGCCGCTGGCGGAACGGGCCGTGCTCTCGCACAAGCTGGCCTGGCTCGGGCCCTAGCGCAGACGGTCCCACTGACGAGTCTCTGACCTGTTGCAGGGCGAGGCGCTGGCCCCCACCACACACAGCTTTGGAATCTCAGACCCAGCGCCTCCCTTTTGCCAACTTGCGCCCGCCGCGGGGTTGGGCGCCCGCCGTGGCCGTGGCTGGTTGCAGCTCCCACCGATGGAAACCCGTCCCAGGGGCTGTGGCACTGAGCGACCCTTTCAGGGACTCGCAGGCGTTCACAACGGCAGACGGCCAGATGCCGGGGTCTCTGCGGCAGCTCCCTTGTGCTGGGGGTGGGGCGGTTCCATTTTAGCTCAGAGGCAGCCGTGTGAACACGACCCCAGTGCCCGCTCCCTGCCGCTGGCAAAAGCTCTTCTCAAGCAGGAGGCGCCGGGCAGCCTGCGAGACCTGGTTCCCGGCTCCCGGCCGCCTCGGCCTTCCAAAGGCTCCGTGGCCATGTGGTGAACTGTCCAAAGGCAGGGCCACGGCTGCGCGGTTTGGACTGTGAAAGGCCCGGGCACTACTGGACTGGGCGCGTCGGGGGAGGGGCCGGCGTTTTAGTCTGTGCCGGGATCGGGGACTGGGGCCCCCGGCGTCATGTCACTAAATTACCAGCGCGATGCCCACGGCCGGTCCCGCCACGGGGCCCACTGAGCTCAGCGGAAGCTGCCGAGGCGCCGCGTTTCCAAAGCCCCATTGGCTCCATCCGAGACCTAAGCCCGTCAGCCGCCTGGTTTCACAGGGCTCAGCCGCAGCGCAGAGCTGGGCCGGGACGCCCCGCGACGGAAACGCAGAGGAGAGCCCGTAGCAACGGCCATGACGATGGCGTTTTAGCTCTGTGAGCCGGGCCAGGGGCCGGAACAGCCACCGCGCCCGGCTTTCCTGGGGAACCGGCTGGGGAGGGGAAGTCGGGCACTTCCCAGCCTCAGCCAGCAGACGGTCGACTTCCAGCCGCTGCCGCCTGCTGCGGGGCTCTCGGGAGCACGTTTCCCAGAGCTCCTGAGTCAGCTAATTCCACCGCTCAGTTCATTTGGGCCTGAGGCAGCGGCGAACGGTTAGTCCATTAGCCAGTATCACTGCAGCCTTCCCGAGGAGACAGGCTGTTTGTAACCCAAACGGCCCTTCGCCGCATTCAGCCGCCTTGTCTCCCAGAGGTGCCGGGTATGATGTAGTGGGGGTACCTTGCTGGGGCTGTGGGCGACCTCTGCTGTCTGTAGCACGACCCAGCAGGGCAGGGGGTGGGTCATTATGCAAAGGGGGCTCCAAACCTGTCTGACCAGCTACCCCCCAGGGAGAGAAACAAAGGAAGAGGGAATGCTGCCCTGGCTGGGGGCAGGGCTGGAAGAGAGGGCGTTAGTCTCTGTCTGGTATCATGGAGGAAGCAGCCTAAGCAACAGGCTGGGATTTAGGGGCCCAGTCTCCCCCCTCTCAAGGGGGCCTGAGGCATCCTAGCCCAGCTCTGTGACCAGATTACATCTGTGCTGTATCCTGGAGAGGTAATAAACTTCCTCTATTCCACTGGCTGGTGCAGTCTGTTTGTGCCATTTCGGGGTGCAGGAGACGGGGGACCCCCAACGCGCCATCACACTTGGCTAGGCAGTTGGCGCATTGGGCAGAGGGGCCAGCTCTGGACCTGGGGGGCAGGGCACTGCCGGGGGGCAGGACTCCAGGCCTTGCTCCAAGGTGGGTGGAGCAGGGCTTTGAAAACAGGCCCCCACGCTCCAGCAGCCTGCCTGGCCTGGGGCCCCAGGGTGCCACGGAGGGAGGGCTCTCGCCCTCTGGCCTTTCCTGGGGAAACTCTGACCTGCTTAGGTGGCCACTTGCAGGGTGGGACTCCCCTGGGTGCCTGCAGATGTGGGGCACACAGGGGGATGGGTGGGACAGCCCACGCCAGGCACTCCTGGCTCCAGGCCTTGTGGGCGCTTCCGACTGTCCCCTTCCCGGGGTACGCCTCGGCGGTTCCGACTGTCCCCTTCCCGGGGTACGCCTCGGCGGTTCCGACTGTCCCCTTCCCGGGGTACGCCTCGGCGGTTCCGACTGTCCCCTTCCCGGGGTACGCCTCCGTGTCCCACATGAATTCCGCCTGCCAGCCTGCCGTTCCGTCACACAGCTCCACAAGAGCCCTATGAAGTCCCTCGTCCACCGCATGGAAATCAGGCATTTCTGTAACCCCCTGGCCCTCTATCACAAGGCAGTGCGCTGACAGCGGAGGCTCTGCATGGAGTGGAACAGGCGGGAGGCTCCGTTAGCACTTCCTGGAGCAGCAGCGTTACAGTGACCCAGCAACAATAAATGAGGGCCCTGGCCAGAGCGCTGGGTCCCAAAGGCACCAGCACGGGACAGCTCTCTCAGCGGCAGGAAACCCTTTCACAGGGGTTGTCTCCAGGCCACTGCCAGCGTGGGCTGCAGGGTGCCAAGCCGCCACGTTGCGTCACCAGCGAGGGACGCCCACTCCCAGCGTTCTCCTGCAAACCCCGGAGGCAGGCCTGGAGTAACCAGTGCCCCTCCCACAGGGAGAAACTTGCTGGGATCTCTGCCCACAATCGGTCTCCACCCTCTGCCGGCCGCAGAAGTAAAGCTCCAGGGCTCGCGACATTGGAAATAAAACAGCGTCCTGCCTAGTCCCTCCTTCGGTGGCAGGGGAGGGGTTAAAGGCCAGGGCTCCGAACAGCTCAGAGGTTTAGGTTCACGCCTGTAGGTGGATTTCCGACAAACAGGGCGAGTGGAGGACCACGCGGGGACACTGAACCATACAACCAAACAGTATCCAAAAGGAACAGCCATTCGTTAGGCAAGCAGCAAACCGTACGCACAAGTGCTACCATGACACCTTTGGCCTTGGAGTGTCAGCGTATCGTGAGTGGCCCGGCCGTCTCGGCCCAGGTCACACTCCCCTGCTTACAGGTCAGCAGCTTACAAATGAGCATTAAACTGCCCTTCCCCAGTGTGACACTACAGCCACCTTCTTGCTGGCCCTTTACATCGCACGTTATTTTAAATTAACATCCGCGCCCACGTCCTCCCATGGTCTCAGACAGCGTTCTACTGACAATCGCCAGTCTCAAAACCACTAACGACAAACCTTGCTCGAGCCAGCTATACCCAGCACAAACCGTCCCGGGTTACGTGCTTGCCGGCTCTTCCTTTCCCACAAACTGCCATCTCCAACCCATCTCTGACTTTTGTCACACGAGCAACTTCAGTTTCCCATATTCCTCCACGTGCTCAGAGCCGAACTCTGGCTGCATTTGTACCTTAAAACCATCCTCTAGGGGACATGACACGGGAACCTGCATTTTCAGGTTCCGTTGATCTTATGGGCCTCGGACGTACCTGGGTACATACATACAACACCGCTACACTTCAGGGCTGGGAGGTTCTGCAGTCAGCCTGGAACGCGAGTGATTGCAGGACTGCGAGGCAAAGCTCCAACCGGCATATGCTCCCATGTTCTTCTATGTTTGCCTGGCACTGGCAGCACGCTGCTTTAGAACCACTGATGGGTCCAGCGGTTACATTACCCAATGTGCCGTGGGGGGGGCTGTCTGCTCTAACCCGGGGTCCCCCTGCATTGTGATGTGATTTCCACTGACCCACCCACCTGTGGATTGGCCCAGACACCTAGTCCCAGCCTGAGCAGGGAACAAGGCTCTTCCCAGGGGGAGAGAGAAAGGGAGGGAGGCGGAGACGGCACCTGGCTGGGGGGCAGGGCCTGGGAGCTGGGCAGTCGGGTCTGGAAAAACATGGAGAGAAGAGACTAAGCTGAGTACTGGGGTGTGAGGGGTCGGTGGACCCCTCCCCCAAGGGGTCTGAGGCTGCCTGGCCCTGACCCCTGTAACCACATCACGTCTGTGCTGGGCTGTATCCTGGAGAAGCAAAACTCTCTCTATTCTACTGGCTGGCGGAGTCTCATTTTGCTGCTACGGGGGTGCAGGATTGGGGGGTCCCCGACGTGCTATCACACTCTCAGTCTGAGAGACTCGTCAGGCATGTCTGGCTTTACGAAGACACGCTGGCCGGAGCCGGAGCGGGGTCAGGGATACTGGCCAGACTGTGAAGTGGAGCTGGAAACGATTTCGGAGGCGAACGAGGACGAACAGTCAAAGGAGGAAGTTGTCTGAGTGCAAGGAATTCCCAGAACAATTCCGTCTCGGTGGGAACCCAAATGGAATTTTCAGCTCGCCCGTCTGCCCGCCTGGCACACGCTTGTCAATTTCCCAGGCCAGAAAATGAAATGGACAGAGCCTCCCATCTTGCTTCCTTGGGCAGGCAGAGCGCGAATCTGACCGGAGCCTCCCGGGTGGGCTCCGAGAACTCCCATTTAGTGTTTCCTGGGGCCACGGACGCTTTTCAGCAAAACTGAAATTTTCCCCAAATGGCATTTTTCAATAGAAATTGCCGACTCACGACTAAGGAGCAACACGAGACCAGAGCACGGGACTCAGAGCTCCGGGCTCTGCTAGCATCGGGACGGCTAAACACGCAGGTAGACCAGAGCACGGGACTCAGAGCTCCGGGCTCTGCTAGCATCGGGACAGCTAACCACGCAGGTAGACGCCGCCGTCTGTGCACACCCTGTGACGCACTCACCAGAGACCCACACGCCCCAGAGCTCCTAGCTCCCCGTGGCCTGGGGGTGGGACCCAGCGGCCCCTCCCCACCCCAGGCGGCCGCGCTGTGAGCGAGCAGGCGAGATTCTGACCTTACCTCGTGGGACAAGTAAAAGGCAGCGATGCCCAGGGGCCAAAAGCAGCAGAGCATGGAGAAGACGCTGAGGCCGAGATGGTCGCGGGGGGGCATCATGAGGAAATCGTCTTCGCTCTCGGTGTCGCTCGAGTAGTCGCTCTGCAGGAGAAAGCAGAGGCCGGTCAGCGCGGCCGTGGCGCAGCCTGCGAGGATCCGCTCCGGAACCTCCCCAGCCTGGCCGCTGGCCGGTGCTGGCTCTGGGCACGGGTTGTGCACCCACGCGCTGGCCCAGTGTCCAAACCCGCCTCCGCCATGAGAGGCCTCAGGATCCCCTTAACTGGGGCCACTGGGGTGCAGTGTCAGTTCCTTGCGGGTCGCTATGCGTGGGCTGCGGGGGACCCCCCGGCGGCTGTCTGCAGCACGGCCCAGCGGGGGGGGGGCCCTACCGCCCCAGGGCAGTGGCTAAAACCAGTTCCACAAGCTCAGGGAAGAGGCTGAGCACAGGAAGCGTGTGCCAGGGGAAGGGGCACTTTTTTGGGCTGGAATCGTGGAGGAACCAGTCTAAGGAGGGGCTGGAATCCAGGGGCCCAGGGACCCATCTCAAGGGGGCTGAGGTATCCTGGCCCAGACTCCGGTAACCACACACGCCTGTGCTGTGCTGTATCCTGGAGAAGCAATAACCCCCCGTTCTACCAGCTGGTGGAGTCTGTTCTTGCTGCTCTGGGGGTGCAGGAACGGGGGAACCCCAACTGCGTCATCACAGCCACAAAGCAAGCCAGCCCGGGACCTCGGAGCAGGCTGGGGGCCTGGCTTTGCCAAACTCCATCCCATGCCCCCCTTGACGGCACTGGGCAGGGCGCCCCCAGCACCGGCCTGTGACTCAGCAGAGCTCGATCTCAGCTCCCCCCCATGTGGATGAGAAGCTGGAGAGGAGTCAACAGGGCACCCTGGTAGCCAAGAGGGCTAATGGCATGTTAGGAGGCATTAAGAGGAGCACTGCCAGCAGATCCAGAGATGTCATTATTCCCCTTTATTCGGCTTTGGTGAGGCCACATCTGGAGCTGCCAGCTGGCTGCTTTGTGTGACCCGTCTCACCCCCGCGCCCTGGCGTGGTGCAATGCGGGCAGGTCTGGGGACGGGAACCAGGGCGCGTGCGGTGGACGAGGCTGTGTGGCTCCTGGGGCACGCGGGGAGAGCCAGCGATACGTGTGGAGGGTCTGGGGGTCCAGAGAGCAGGCGCTGGGATGGGAGAGTGAAAGAACTGGGCTCGTTCGCTTTGGAAAGGAGACTTGCAGGGGGCTGCGCTGGACATTAGGACAAACTCTGTCCCTAGGCGGGTGGGAAGCGCTGGGCTGGGTTCCCTGGGGAGGGGTGGAGTCTCCATCCCTACTCCCTAGGGGTTAACGACTCTCGGTTTGACAGGGCCCGGGCTGGGCTGATTGAGTCGGGTTGGTCCTGCTTTGGGCAGGGGCTGGACGACTCCTGAGCTCCCTGCCCGCCTGGGGCTGTGATTTGAGGACGACTAACTACCCTTCCCAGTGCTCGTTACAGACGCCAGACGGCTAAACAGAGACAAGGCGGGGGAGGGGGATGAGCGATTTGAACGGGCCCGTGGGAAATTAGAGAGGAAACAAAAACCAGGCGGCAGTAAAACAGGGATTCCACGCAGGCCCGTTCTGACGGGGCCGGGGCCTTCTCAGGGCAGGATGCAGAGGTAAAACGTCCAGACGTGATTAAAACTGCTGCTGGCCCCCACGGGGAAAGGCAATTCCCCATCTAGTCCGACCTGGAGCGCAGGATCCGACCCAGAGCTGGATACAGCAGGGCCACTGGCTGAAGGCAGCCAGGAGAGAACAGACCGAACACGCGGGGGTGGGTACCAAAAAACGTAACAGCATTTCACTTCCAAAAAGGAAAGGAAGCCAACAGATGGAACGGAACCGCCACAAAGCTGAACTGCCGCAGATTGTGGGAGAACTATTTTTAAGGAGCGTAATAGAGGCTCACATGAAAAGCCCAGGACATTACAAACAGTGAGACCCGGCCAAACCAAGGAAACGGGGGAGTGAGGGGCAAAAAGAGATTCTGTACAAAATGCAAATCAAACCCTGCTGAGGAAAACAGAAAGGAGCATCAGCTGTGGCCTAGGGGTGGCCAGCCAGTTAGAGACGAAGAGCCAGAGTGCAGAGCCATGTATTCGATATTTATCTGCATCTAACTGTCTATAGAAAGATCGATAGATCGAGCACACCATGGAGTGATAAAAATAACGTTACAGGACATTTCAGACAAAAACCAATAAAAAAGTCTCCAGTCACTTAAACAATTCACGGCCAGTCCATCGATCCTCAGAGAACTTGACAAGGAACAAACATCAAATTAAAAAAAAAATCCTTTAAAAATACAGTAACATTCTCACACTAAAAAAAAAAAAAAAAAATCATCCCCACCCTGTATTTTAAATGGAACCCGACGGCCCTATGAGGTCCTGTGAGGTTTTTTTTAATTAAAACTGAACTGAGAAGTAAGTTAGCACAATTTGAAGTGCCTGTTCCAGACTGCAGATATGAGAGGTTATAATGGCTTCAGCCTGGCCAGCAATCGCCTTTACATTTTCTTTAAAGAAACACAGTGTAAACCACGTACATGCTGATTCTTCTTTGTCCTGGAAGTGAAACAGGACATCTGTGCTGGCTGCCTTATTCAGCATCCACGAAGACTGAGTTTAAGGTGCACCCCCTCCCCCAGAGCCAGGCACCCCCAGGTCCCCCCCTTGCTCTAACCCTATCCAGATCTCAGAATAATGGCTTCAGCCTGGCCAGCAATCGCCTTTACATTTTCTTTAAAGAAACACAGTGTAAACCACGTACATGCTGATTCTTCTTTGTCCTGGAAGTGAAACAGGACATCTGTGCTGGCTGCCTTATTCAGCATCCACGAAGACTGAGTTTAAGGTGCACCCCCTCCCCCAGAGCCAGGCACCCCCAGGTCCCCCCCTTGCTCTAACCCTATCCCCTGCCCTCCCGCAGAGCCAGGCACCTCCCCAGTTTAATTGGGCCACAGAACCCCTTTCATCTTAAAAGAATTGCGAGGAACCTTTAGGCTTGCCAGGGTAATTTGTCAAGCAAAACAAAAAACAAAACCCCAGAATTGGTCAAGTTAAAAAAAACACAAAGCCAAACTCAAAATAGACAAGTATCAGAGGGGTAGCCGTGTTAGTCTGAATCTGCAAAAGCGGCGAGGAGTCCTGTGGCTCCTGATAGACTAACTGAAGTGTAGGAGCATAAGCTTTCGTGGGCAATGACCCACTTTGTCAGATGCATGTAGTGGAAATTTCCAGAGGCAGGAAAGCTTATGCTCCTACACTTCAGTTAGTCTATAAGGTGCCACAGGACTCCTCGTCGCTTTTTCAAAATAGACAGTGTCTCTTTAAGAGGGGGCGGGGCAGTTCCGTGTTCTCATGGAACCCCTACTTTCGCTTCGCAGAACCCCGGGTTCCCGCGGAGCACCAGCTGGGAACCGCTGCTCTACCCGAATGCCTGGGTCCCGGAGCTGCTGCCACCCCACACGCTGGGTGCCTTGCGCAGAGCGGCCGGCCGTGGGCAGTGCGGGCACAGCCGCATTTTTTAAATCAAAGAGCTGCGGGGTGGCCACCCCTGCTCTGGCCAATCAGGTGTCAATGCAGAATTCGGCAGGCCAAAACCGACAGAGCAATGAACAGAAGACACCAAAGCTAACAGCGAAGAGCAGTAAGTGAGGCGCATTGGAAGCAGGAAGCTGGCGCCCAGGCAGCGAGCCCCGGGCCCGTTGGGATGCCGACGGAGCACTCCAGAAACTCTCGGCCACCAGGGAGACGCGAGTGGGCGTCACGGCTGGGGACGTGGATTCCCTGGCCCGGCCCCTTCTTCCCAGGTAACAAAGCTGAGGGCGAGGGCTCTGGAACCGTTTGCTGATGAAGCAGCGATCTTCGCCCCAGTCTGGGAGAACGCCTCGCGGGGGGCACCGGGGAGCCAGCTGGCAGAACGTGCGCGGTCTAGGGGGCCTGGGCGTTCAGAAAGCCCGAGCTCTCTGAGCGGAGCGGGACGGCCTCTCCAGGACAGCGAGTGGTAGGATAAGTGGCCAGTTCTCGCAGCGGAGAGGGGTACCTAGCGGGGGCCACAGGCTCTGCAAACTGAGCTGCACAAAGCCGAGCACAGGGAGGGCGGCCGACAGGACAGATGACTCAGGGCAGTTAAGTCCAAAGCACACTGCAGTTACCAAGGGACCTGGGTAAACCGGGGCACTGGCCCACAAGCCAGCAGAGGGTCCGTTCGGCGTGTAGCTAACCCGGGTTACGCACTGGCTGTACATTAAAGCCAGTAAAACCTTCCCCTGCAGACAGGGCCCT